AAAAAAACACACTCCATCCCTGTATAACCCAAAATAAAATGTTCCAGGAACTGACATGGACTGTCCAAGCTTCCTAAATTAGATCAGCTTCCTTCCAGAGGTTCTGACTGCAGAGCTGCCTTCAGAGAGGAGCCTGACCCCCTCCCTGAGGTGTCCCTGTCCCCACCCCTCCCCTTCCGTGTGCCTCCCCCACCTTCCCCCTGCCTCACAAAGACACCCTCACTTCCGCACATCGAGGTTTGCTTCCCCGAACATTTTCCACCTCTCTAGTGTCCCTGCCTCCTCGCTTTCCTCAGCCCGGTAAGACGTGACCGGGTCATTCTGTCCACAAGACTGTCCGTCCTTCCCTCCCATGGTTCCAGCCCTCCCTCCCTCAGGCCAAGACGCCCTTCCTCAGACTTTGTGCCTGGTAGAGCAAGGGGCCAGGTGCGGCTGTCCCTGAGGGGTTTCCGACGCCAGTGAGACACAAAAGACTTGTGGGCAGGGCTGAGCGGGCGTGGGAATAAATAAATCAATGAATGAATAATGGATTGGCAGTTGATACCGTGTGTTAGGCCCAGGAGAGGGGAAGGCGGAAGACAGATTTCAGTCCCCTCTCTTGCTATAGTAAAAAGGCTTATGGGGAGAGGGGGAGGAAGAAGGAAGAGGCTTGAGTTTCTGCTTCTCTGTTTCTCTCTCTCTCTCTCTCTCTCTCTCTCTCTCTCTCTCTCTCTCTCTCTCTGAGACAGTTGAATGTTTCTTCCTAGGATGGCCTTGGACAGTTGAGGGTGATGTTCAATTTTGTTGTTTGTTTGTTTCTCTTTTGGGGTGGGGTTTGAGACAAGGTTTCTCTGTGGCTTTGGCGGCTGTCCTGGAGCTCGCTCTGTAGACCAGGCTGGCCTCGAACTCACAGAGATCCGCCTGCCTCTGCCTCCCAAGGGCTGGGATTAAAGGTTTGCACCACACTGCCTGGCTTCCTGTTTGATTTTTCAAGTGGCCCAAGCTGACTTTAAGCTCTCTGTGTGCCGGAGGGGAGGGTGATGAGCTGACCTTCTGACCCTCAGCCTCTGCTTCCGGGGCACTGGGATCACAGGCCTTCGCTGCTGTACCCGGTAGACCTTGCCGGAGCTGGAGCCCCGGGCTCTGCGCATGCTAGGTGAGTACTGTGCAACTCCTCAGAGCCCACCTGGTCTCCTGACCGGGTCCACAGCTCCTGTGACGGCAGCTGCCTCCCTCTCCGCCTCCAGCCTCCCTTCCCCACTGTATCACAACTTTCCCCCCCGGTGAGCACCCTCCCAACCCTCATCACGCTTTCAAAGTCTGCCATTAAGTGACGGCACATGTCCTGTCAGGAAATCTGGCACTGCGGACTCCTCTGGCTTTATTATTATTAATACTATTATTATTATTATTACTACTATTATTATTATTATCGAGAGAGCTCACTGGTGGCTTCTCTCTGCCTTCTCAGGCCTCACCCTCTGGGCTCCCATCTGTCTCCATGAAAACACTTGAAAACACTTTAGGACTGAGCTAGGCCAGTTCATGGAAAGGGAGGGGCAGGTCTATCTTTTCCCTCCTCCACCGCTCTGTAAGAGCCTTTGCCTTTGCCGGGAAGCCAGGCCCTGGTGCACGCCTTTAATGCTTGGACTTGGGAAGCAGAGGCAGGCAGATCTCTATGAGTTCGAGGCCAGCCAGCCTGGTCTACAGAGTAAATTCTAAGACAGCTAAGGCTACACAGGGAAACTATGTCCTGCTTTTTTGGGGGGAGTTTCCCCCAATATAGCCTTTGTGGGTAACCAGCCTCTTGACATGAAGACAGTTCTGTGTTGGGGGGAGGGATTCCATAGCATTGGGAGTGAGCACTGGGGGTACATACAGTTGTGAGCACTGGAGTATATACATACAGTTGTGAGCACTGGAGTACACACACAGTTGTGAGCACTGGGGTACACACACAGTTGTGAGCACTGGGGTACACACACAGTTGTGAGCACTGGGGGTACATACAGTTGTGAGCACTGGAGTATATACATACAGTTGTGAGCACTGGAGTACACACACACAGTTGTGAGCACTGGGGTACACACACAGTTGTGAGCACTGGGGTACACACACACAGTTGTGAGCACTGGGGGTACACACACACAGTTGTGAGCACTGGGAGTGCACACATACAGTTGTGAGCACTGGAGTACACACACAGTTGTGAGCACTGGGGTACACATACAGTTGTGAGCACTGGAGTACACACACAGTTGTGAGCACTGGGGGTACACACATACAGTTGTGAGCACTGGGGTACACACACAGTTGTGAGCACTGGGGTACACACACAGTTGTGAGCACTGGGGTACACACACAGTTGTGAGCACTGGGGTACACACACAGTTGTGAGCACTGGGGGTACACACACAGTTGTGAGCACTGGGGGTACACACATACAGTTGTGAGCACTGGGGGTACACACACAGTTGTGAGCACTGGAGTACACACACAGTTGTGAGCACTGGGGGTACACACATACAGTTGTGAGCACTGGAGTACACACACAGTTGTGAGCACTGGGGTACACACACAGTTGTGAGCACTGGGGGTACACACACAGTTGTGAGCACTGGAGTACACACACAGTTGTGAGCACTGGGAGTGCACACATACAGTTGTGGTTATAAAGCACCACGCCCCCCACCCACTAGGCTAAGTGCTTTGCCTACCAGGAAAGTGAAACCACCATCGCTGTCAGTACGATGAACAGAGCCCTGGGTGTGTCAGTGGCTTCCCTGGGTCCCAGACACTCTACTTAAATGGCTTGCCACACGAGGCTGACTCAGAGGGTTTGCAGGGGAGCCGAGTGAACTGGGTTCCACCCGTGCCAGCCTCACACCTTTCCCCGGGGACTGATGGGAAACTCCAGGTTGACGTGTGGAGAACGGGAATTGGGAGGGTCTGAGGCTGGAATGGAGGGTGGGTCTCCTCACCCCAGGCTACCGAAAACCCCGTGCGGGGGCTGGCCTTGCCAACAGTGCCCGGACTCCTGTGCAATCTGGCTAACCAGAATTTCAGCTGTCCTTCAGCACCTCCAGCAAACCATGCAGGATAGCTCTGCCCTCCAGCCTTCCCTGGAACACCATCCACTGACTGAGGGGACAAGACACTCTCCCATGGGGAGTTGGTGGCATATTCTGGTGGGGGCCTGATTTATGAAGTTTCGGGGTAAAACAGTGCAGTTAGCTTGCCTAACTTCACTTTGTGAGTGCGTGAGTCTTGTTGCTGTGTCTTCCAATGTCTACTGTGGGCCTACAAGGACTATTGTGGCTCCTCAGAAATCCTCCAGACCTCAAGTGCCAAACTGGAACTGTCAGACAAGGCACCCAGCCTCATGGAGCAGCCTCGCCCGCACGAAGACGACTTGTGCTGTGTAAATCAACCTAACAAGCCCCTTTGTAATGGACAGTCATTCTATCGCTCTGTTGCCTGAGTAATCCGTCTACACACTTGACTGCCTGCTCCAACCTAGTGTAGGTTCTGCCCTGTGCCTTGCTCAGTTGGCGTTGTCTCTAGGCTCTTACGATCAAGCTTGGAACCAGTGCTCAGGGGATCCCCCCCAGCCCCCGCCGCCAGACACGGTTTCTCTGTAGCTTTGGAACCTGATCTGAATCTCGCTCTGTAGACCAGGCTGGTCTCGAACTCACAGAGATCCTCCTGCCTCTGCCTCCCGAGTGCTGGGATTAAAGAGGTGTGCCACCGCTGTCCCACTGCTCCAGGAATACTTACTAAATGAGCAAACACCGTACTCAGGCATTCTTCTGAGCCCGGAACGGTGAACCTCAGAGCTCACAGTGAGGGTTCACCTCCAGGGGATTCAGGAAGTATAGACGCATGCACATCAGCTCAGGGGTACAATAAAGAGAAGTGAAGTCTGCGGCAAATGGGGGTCAACATTGCCTCTTTGGAAGTCTAGTGTTCAAACTCAGCCTCACCCACTCTGGTCCTGGCCACAGTCCTGTTTTGTTTCTCCTCTCTCCAGACCTGTTTTCAATTTTGGGCTTACCACTTCAAAATGCATTCTGCCTTTGTTCAACACCCAGGTCTCTCCTGGGCGTGAGCCAGGGAGGGGCAGAGGTAGTCATGTTTTCTGTGTGTTTGGTGTTTTGTTTTGTTTTTTGAGACAGGGCTTCTCTGTGTAGCCAGAACTCTCTCTGTAGACCAGACTGGCCTCGGACTCACAGAGATTCCCCTGCCTCTGCCTCCCGAGTGCTGGGTTCAAAGGTGAGCGCCACCACCACCCTGGAGGTAGTCAGTTTTGTTCTATTGATGCCGAGGTGTCTCCTGCTCAGTGCCTGGTTTATGGCAGGCCCAGCAGACACATTGAATATCGGCCTTAGGCCCCACTCCCGGGGCAGAAGACTGCTTCCTGGAAGCTTCTGGGGGGTCACCTTTTAGATCCCAAGTCCCAGAAAGCCTCGGAGAAGGCCTTGAGTCAGCTTTGCTGACAGCCAGCTGAACTGCAACTGTGGCCAGAGGATCCGCACGGTCTTCTTGGCAGAGCTGAAGGTGGGGTGGGCCATGGCAGAGGATGGAAGAGAACGTGTTTTCTCTGTCTCTGTCTCTCTGTCTCTGTCTCTCTCTGTGTGTCTGTCTGTCTGTCTGTCTCTCTCCCCCACCCCCACAGGCCCCTGTCCTGCACGCACCCCTATACACGGGTGGAAGAGGGGGTCATCACATCATGGCTACACTGCAGGCCCCTGCCCTGTGTGCCTCCGCGCATCGGTAGAGGAGGGGGTCACCACACCAAGGTTAGACCTAGGTAAACCCCCCTCCTGCGTGCACCCACAGGTGAGACGCAGGGATTAGGAGCGTGCAGGAACCACACACCGAGCTGGGGAACAAGCGGGCCGGGCGGGCGCGGCCTCCGGGTACCGCGGCGCTGCCACCTGCGCAGCCACCGCGCCGCCATTGGCTCGCGGAGAAGCCGCTCTAATCCGCGTCGCCTCCGCCCCCGCGCGGCGCTGCGCTCCGCGGAGTCTCTGACCTTCCTCCTTCCCGCAGCCCCGGAGAGACGCGCGGCGGTCGCGCCAGCCTCCTCCTTTTCCTCCTCCTCCTCCCCAGGGAAGCCGTCCGGGCTTGAGGACGGGCCGCCGCCGCCCGCTTCGCCCCCCGCCCCCGCCGATGGTGTCCGGCCCTCCGGCGCCCAGGTAGGGGGTCTAAAGCGTGGAGCGGGTACGGGGTGGGGTGGGAGTGAGGGAGTACAGAGTCCCAGTGAGGGGTGCAGGTCCCCGGCGTGTGATGGCGTTGGACGCAGCCCAGGACAGGTACCTGGAGGGAGGTGGGCGCGCACCCGGGGATGCTCTTGGATTTGACCCCGGCAACGCCAGGATGGCCCTGAACTAGGCCCCTTGGGGATGCTGAAGGGGAAGCCTTTACCGCGAGGAGGAGATCGGTTCGTTGGGAAGCTGGGGCCTGGCCCCGGGGGTTGAGTGTGGTTTTTCTGGGACCAGCTGGGATGGGTGGGCCGGTGCCAGCTTGGTGCGTATGTTATTTCTGGTTCAGAGTGGGCTGGGGAAGAAGCACAGGCGGCGATGTCTGGTTTAGATTACAGGTGCTTCCTTCTTTGCTTCCGACCCCTCCCCCCACCAGCTGGAGTGGGAGGTGGAAGGAGAGAGGGGGTGGCGCTGCTAAGCCCCCCACCCCCGCAGACGCAGCAGAACCTCCCTGCGCCACACTGCCCTCCCTCTATCAACCTCGGACCATTTGGACACGGCTGGGGCGCTCCCCTGGTTGTGGTCACCCTTCAGGAGGCTGTGGAAAGGTTAAAGGGTCATTAATGTGTCTGGGACACGGCAGCAAAACCCCAGAGCCTGGCCAGACCCAGCTTCAAACGCCAGCTTTTCCCCACCTCCCCCAAGCCCAGCTCTGCAGCCTGGGGGAAGTCACACATGCGGCCACCTTCTTTTTCGAGGCACAACCAGAAATAGCTACCATTGTCAGGGGCCCTGGCACAGCCGGGGTGCAGATTACCAGTGGTTTGGGAAGCTCTGCCTCCAGCCTGGTTTTCTTATCAGATGTTTGCCTGGCTACTCAGGACCACCCTCTGCAAGCAGCTTCCCGAGGCCCAGGTGAGAGGCCACCTCCCACAGCGTGTTCTTGGACCCTGTCAGCCTTGAGGCTATTTTTGTCTGGTCCCTCGCCCTCTAGACCAAAGTGTCTTCAGGCTAAGAATCCGATTTGTCTCTGTCATTGCTCCAGTGTCTCAGAAGGGCTCAGCCACTGAAGAAATGTTTGCAGAATGAATGAGTGAATGAATGACTATGTAAATTCTGAGCAATCGTTAGCAGGCTGAAAGATGGAAGGGAGCCCCCTCTGGTCTCTCTAGGGCTCCCCACCCCACCCCTCCATGAAGCCCCTCCAGGCCTGGGGCCCAGGGGCAGCTGTGGCTATCCAGGGGCTTCGGTCCTGCCCTGCTGGCTCCTGAGTGTCTTGTTGGCTCCCTGATGTCCTCGGGGAGTCTGTCCCATTGTTGAGGGCTTCCCTTTCTTCAAGCCACCGGGTTGGTAATGTCTCCTGTGTGCTCTGCTCAGACCCTCCGTCCCAGCTGTAACAAGTCCATCCGGGTTATGCTCTAGGGCAGTCCTGGGTCTCCCGGCTCTTCCCAGGGAGCTCTGTGTGTGTGTGGAGGGGGCATAGCAGAGCCCTTCTCTGCCAGACTTGTTCCTTTGACAGGTCTGTACCTCAGCTGACCCCACCTCATCCCGACCCTGCCTTCCCCTGCTCTGAGACTCAGTTCCTCAGCCAAGACACACTGCCCCGCCCCCGCAAGCCTTCGGAAGCTTCCTTGGCTGTGTCCCCCTCCCCAGCCTGTGCCCCTCTCCTCAGACCCTCTGGTATATCACACTGTCTCATCTTTCCCTGGGTTATGGAGTGAGTCTGTGGATGCAGGGGGTGTGTCTGCGTCCTAGTCCTGTGTCCCCGAGGCCTGGAGAGGGACTTCACTTAACTTGTGGGAGCCTGACATAGTGGCTCCCCCATGGCCTCAGGTAGGGTTCTCCCTGCTGGGGAGATAAATGCCTCCCCGGCAGGAATGAGTGGTCGTGGGAGACCTCACAGGAGAGCTGAAACTTCTGTGGGCCTGGTGGGCCAGGGAGGACATGGAAGAGCTCACTGACTGGGCATCTCCAGTGGAAGAAAGAGGAGGAGCTGAGAGAACGGGCGGGCGAGCTGGGTAGGAACAGGGTCCAGCCAAGGGCCTGGAGCTCCCACGAGAACAGCCTTCCAGGCTGGCGAGGTGACCAGTGTGGGAAGAGGCGCCTGCCCCCAAGCCCGATGACTTGGTTCTGGTACTCACATAGTGGAAGGAGAGAGCTGACCCCCACAAGGGTCCTTTGACCTCTACTCATGCTGTAGAAAATACATGTAAAACAGAAGAAAGAACCCAGCCTTTCAAGCCAGGCGTGGCCACACACATCTGTCACATCAGCTCCTGCAAAGCAGAAGCAGGAGAATTAAGCCTTCAAGACCAGCTTTGGCTGTATATATGTATGTAGTAGCCAAACTATGAGTGTAGCCTAGACTATAGGGGACCATTTCAACCAACAGGTTTTCTTTTCTTTTCTTTTTGAAACAGGGTTTCTCTGTGTAGCCCTGGCTGTCCTGGAACTCACTCTGTAGACCAGGCTGGCCTGGAACTCACTCTGTAAGACCAGGCTGGCCTCCCACTCACAGAGATCCGCCTGCCTCTGCTGAGTGCTGGCATCAAAGGCGTGGGCTACCACCACCTGGCTGTGTGTGTGTGTGTGTGTGTGTGTGCGCGCGCGCGCGCATTCCTCCTTATTATGAAGCAATTGGTGTTTGCTGTGGATAATTTGGAGGTGTAGACAGGACTGGGAAGCCATTAGCCACCATCGGAGCCGTCTGCTCTGCTTGTCATGTGTGCCTTACAGTTGGTTTCACTGGGGCGGGGTGGCCAGGGTCCCAGGAGGTACCCTACAGGAGCCACCCACCCACCCACAGAAGCAGAGCTTCAGTTCAGTGACAGTGGCAATCACAGATGACCCCAGCGGCCCTGAACAGCTGAAGGGACTTTCAGGGGTGTGTCCAGTTGGGTCCCAGCATCCTCACCCTGTCACTGCTGCTGGGGACCAAGGCGGGGCATCTACAGATGGTACCCAGAGCAGCCAGGGAGCCAAGAGATGATGCTCGCTTCTAAGGGTGGGAGCGGGCCGTGGGAGGCAGGAGCTTGCGTGCCAACGAAGTGAGTGCTGCCAGCTCTGAACTCTGAAGGGGAGTGGGTCTGTGGGGTTGGAGAAATAGATGCCTTACACCTGCAAACAGACTCCTGAAGGCTGGGGGGGGGAGGTACCAGAGGCCGTGGCTACTTTTTAAGTGTCACTTCGTCTGAGGGTGCTGGTGAAAGGATTGAAGGCAGGGTTTAAATGAGTTCACCAGACCCAAGACAAATGATAGATAGGTGTTGTTTATTAGGGAAGAACTTATACAGATAAGAGTAAATAACCCCTGTGGTCTTCCTGCTCCAGAAGATGCAGTCTCTGCCTTCCCGATGCTCTTCTCTTCTCAAAACCCAAGAGAGCCAGCCCCTCCTCTGCCTTATAATGGGTCATGTCTGCACCTGAAACCACGCCCAAAGGGTGTGGCCACCACCACAAGTTCAGTTGGCCAGGCAAGATGCCACCACAGTTCCCCTTTCATCTAGAGAAGATCTTAAGCCTGATACCAAAACTATACAATGATAACAAATATCAGATATATTCCGGGAGAAGGGCAGGTAAAAGCATACACAAAGTTAGATCTACAACCAAATCTAGATGGTTTATCAGTCAAGAGTACGGGCTGCAAAGGACCTACATGGGTTTGATTCCCAGCACCCACACTGCAGATCAAAACTGCTTCACCCTGAGCTTCTGGAACCCTCTTCTGACCTCGTCAGGCACCAGGTGCCCTGGCTTCATCAGGCACACTCGTTACATAGGGATTCATGCATGCGAAACGCTAATACACAGAAAATAGAAAAAATCTAGGCGCGTGCTGTACACAGGGATCCATGTAGGCAAAATACTCAGACACATAGGATAAAACAAATATATATAAAAAAGTTAAAAGCTGGTATAGGCTGGGGTAGGGTTGTCGATAAGTCACGGGGTGTCTGGCTCAGTGGTGAAATATGAATTTGAGCAGCGGTGGGACTCAATAGCAGAGTGCTTCCGGAGCATGCCCGAGGCCCTGGGTTATCCCAGCACTAAGAGAAAAGCTCAGATAAACAAATTATTCCTTCCCTTTTAGCATAAATATATTCCAAAATGTTGCGTGTACATATTGGTACTAAGAAAAAAAAAAGAGGGTTTTTCATGGTCTCTCATGACAGTGCAGGCTTCGTGTTCTCCTGTGACAGTCCTAGACTTAGCTGTGACAGAACATTTTTATCTGGTCTGCTGTCCCTCGAGGGTATCGATGCTGGCGGCCAAGACTGAGGGCTCACAGGGTAGAAGAAGACGAAACGACTTCCACAGTCGTCCTGTGGCCGCCGCAAGGGCACTGTGGCACACTCTCACACCCCTCCACGATAAATAAATACGTGTGATGGTTTAAACTCCATGTGTCTCTTATCTGAAACCTGAATTGTCCTAGTGTCCTTTGGCCTCTCTAGGCTGGTAAGAGGGCAGAGCCTCCTGTTTGCTCTTTTTCTGTCCTGGGGGAGGGGTCGGGGTGATTATTTCAAACAGAACTAACTGTGTGCGAGTGCGCGCGCGTGTGCACGCAGCAATCCAAGCATGAGGGTGGGAGACAGCTCAGGCCTCACGGGCCACCTTGCTTCAGACACCATCTCTCGCTCTGTGCTGCTCCGTCCAGAATTCCATGGGTCCACGTGTCTCTACTGTCTCTCCATAGGGGCAGTGGCATTACAGACACCGCCGTGCCCAGCTTGAAGTGTGTTCCCAGGACTCAGACTCAGGGCCTGATGGTCACGTGGCAAGCCCGTTACCCACCAGGTCACCACCCCAGCCCACAGAGCAGTTTTTAATTTGGGGTCAGTAAACTGATCCTCTGCACTGCCCAGAGAGTGCTGTCCATTCAGATGGACAGGAGGTGGAGCTTCTGAATAAGGTTAATCCAGTGCTGCACAAATCCTCACAGTGAGCCTTTTCCTGGCATAGGGTGTGGCGGGCAAACCCTCACATCTCTA